TAGCAGTGAATCTCTGTGCGTAGACCACGATAAGAAGCTATAAATCTTAACCTCGAGCCCACACATACAAAAATCTCATTCACGACTTCGCTGAACCCAATATCTACCTCATGATGTCATGGGTGGCTAAACTTATATTGCGATGTTTCAAAATCGTTACAAACACAATGGTTTGACTGCAATGAATGAACGAATGACCGATCTGGCAACACCATATTCTGAGAATGTAATCATGTGTATTTCTAACAGCGAACGAATTTCAGACGCCCACAGTCTGTGCATACCGTCATGTACCATACGATAAATAAGCTTCAACAAGCGATAGTATTGTATGAGGTCGCGACAAGGACTTTTAGACTGCTAAAACGCATGGTGCAGAAAATGTATTACACTGCTAGAATGCATGGTGCAGAAAATGTATGAATTTCGGGATTTTTTTTTTGAATGAGTGTAAAAATTGTTTACAGATATTAAAATCTGTAATAAGCCAAGCAAGACACCAACATGAAAGCTGTGCTTGCCTCCTGCTTTCATGCTGGTTTCTTGTTTGGCTTATTTTTCAACTCTGAATGTGGAGGCAACGTGTTCCTCCAAACTGCCAGTTGACTTTCAATGGACTAGGGACATTATATCCCAGAAGACTGATTCTTTACAAAAATGCATATTCTGATAGTAACAGCCACAAATTGAGACTACTTCTTTACAGACATATGCATGCTGACAGTAATAACCATGAACATTCTTCTACTTCATTCATATCCTACAGTAATAGTCACAGAGACTGCTGCTGTAGAAATTTTAATATCCTGACAGTAATAATCACAGAGACTCTTGGTACACAACGATTCATATCTTAATGATACTGTGGGAACATCCCACATACTAACATGTGGTTTTGACGGTCTAACAGACAGCACTCACTCCTAGTCAATATCACATTGCCGCACGTTGCTGCCACCACTCATATTTATACAGCACTCAATGTCCTGCTTGCCTGTAGATCATCATGTGTGCTAGCCAATCAGTGCTCACAGTCGCAACTGCAAGTTTAAGCTCCACCCAGCAAGCATGGTATAAAAGTGGAGCCCAAATCTCGCAATCAGTGATTACATTCAGTTCAGAGCAATCAGTCATCAGAGTCATCAGCTCTTAACTGTGCCAAAGACAGCTGCCGCAACTCTCTAGCAGCCGTGCTCTGCTACCAGACAGCTAACATAGCTGCCACATCTCTCCAGCAACCGCGCTCTGCTACTAGACAGCTAACATAGCTGCCGCAACTCTCCAGCAACCCCGCTCTGTGACCAGGCAGCTAACATAGTTGCCGCAGCTCTCCAGCAACCTATTTCTGCAACCAGGCAGCTAACGTAGCTGCCACAACTCTCCAGCAAACTCGCTCTGCGACCAGGCAGCTAACGTAGTTGCTGCAACTCTCCAGCACCCGTGCCATAGGCAGCTGTTCCTACAGGTGCACGCAGCACCATATTACCGGCCGGACAAACCAGCTGAACCACCGTAAAGACTTGGTCTATTACAAAGGAGCAAATTCTACCAGCACACTCATGGTGGATCAAAGTGCCCTTTGCAAGACCAGCCAACTTTTGACATTCCACATAGCTTTGCAGCTATTCTGTACATTAAATTTATACAATTTAATATATACAATTGTTACAGATTTACAATCCCACAGTACATATCAAAGTTTCTGCAAATGGGGATTCTTCATGCAAATATTCACCAATGCATAACTTGATACTTTTATATTCTTTGAAATATTGCTGTGATTATATGTGGCGAACAGAGATGCATTATACATTCACTAAAAATAACATATGACCGTGTAGTTTGATATTAACATCAAAATTCTTAACTTTGTAGATTAAATAATTTGACATTCCTGAGTATGTATGAAATATTACATGCTGCACAGAATCAGGAATTGTATTGATTTTTAATTAATTAATAGAGGACCAGTTAGTGATGACAGTAATACTAATTTGAAGGTAATTTTGATATACCAAACCTAAGTGAACTGAGAAAGATAAGGGAAGCTGTGAAGAATGTTGTTATCATAAGAAATTGTGTAGAAACTTGTTCAGAAAATAAAACAACATTGTTTGACTGGATTCATGAGTAAGAACCTGCAGTGCACTACTTTATGATGGTACTGCATTCACATGTTAACTGTCAGAAGAAAGTCCCCTTGCCTAGGAGCATAAAGTGTAAGTTCTAGCAATATGATGAAGGTTTGAGCAAGATAACTGGAAATTTAAATCAGTATGTGTTTTACAGGATCTTGATGAAGATGATGTTATGGTTCTGGACTCTGGAGATGAGATCTATGTTTGGTTTGGAAACAAGGCTTCTGAAGATGAAAGACAGATGGGTTTGAAGATGGCTGAGGTATGAAATTTGTAGTCGAACATTGATTCTCTACTATTGCATGGCAGTAGTTTATTTGCTGTACCAATAGTCTGATGAGTATTGTCTATTGTTTGATGTTACACAGTGTTTTGAGAATTGGCTGCAGTTTGAATTCAAGTGATCGACTGTTAAAATGACAGATGTTTACTTTCTCATATATGTAGCATCCATGAGAAAGTATTGTTCTTATAGAAAAAAACTTCTTTCAAGATTTTGACATATTTACACATTTCCAGTCCCCAATTGTGAAAGATTGCTTCTTTTTATGCCATTTATCTGTATGATAAATGATACAAACTCCGTCCCAAGTGCAAACAATATATATTATATGTCTTTGATCTTGTTCCTTCTACACTACATGTTTCGGCCTCTATCGGCCATCATCAGGTGTATACTCTTAACGTTGCTGCCACACTGAACCCAGTCTAAAATTTAACATTTAAAAACACAATGTCACTTTCTTCGTATTAT